TTTTAAGATTGATGTATGTTCTTTGCATTAAATTCTTGTCTTGCTTAGAACTAAATAACTGACATATTATGGTTGAGGTTTTTTTCCTGTTTTCACAAGTATTTGATTTGGGACATCTCAAACAACATATTTTACTCTTGAGATTGCACTTGTGTGTTGACAGCTTGGATGTGCTCTTGTTTACTTTCTGATTAGACCAAAATAAAAATATGTGCGGCTAGACCTGTTTTAATCACACTGAAGACATGCCAAGGCTCTTCCTCTTGGTGTCTGCTTTTCCCAAAGCCTGCTTTAGAATGCAAGACTTCACAACAAATTCCTTCGTTTTGTATCAGACTGAAATTTTAAGGTACCTGAATAATTAGTGTATTTTCTCAAATGATAAGTACTATGGAATTTATATTTAAAAGCTGTCCTCCCCAAGCCCACCTTTCCTAGCAGTGCTGCTTTACATACAGTTCAGTGTGCCTTTTCCTTTCCATCGCCTCACCTTGTGGATTATGTCCTCTGACTAAATCCCTTACCTCATAGGGGTAATTCTTGCTTCTGCCTCTGTTCCCTTGCAGCTCAGATGTCTTCTGGTGTTTTCACATAACTCATGATCAGTCTCTCAAACTTCATATATAACCATAGCACTTCATTCGTGCTTTCCTGTTTTCTTGGTTGACGTTTTGTGGACTCCCAAATTCTGTTGGAGTGGTTTCACTGTTACTTAATGTTACTTACTGTCGCTCACAGTAATAGGACTGATCCCTTTCCTGAGTATTGAATAGTGTGCATTGCCATGATTTTATTTCTGTTATTATGTGCTTAGCATACAGTTACAGAATTTAATAGAAGAACAGGGAAGTCTGCTTTGTGAAGATGGGCAGTTTTATTTCCAATTGCATTATCATTATTATGTTCCAGTTGTTGCAGTTGAACAGGCAGCAGCATTTCAGTGTCGGAATCGTGTCCTGAATTCAGCCTACACCATTCCTTACTTCTATTGGGAAAGTAGGGATTTGCTTTGCCTTTTTTAAAGGAAGTACTCTGAAATGTCTACCAGCAGAATTATTCAGAAGGATTCAGTTACAATTAAATATTGCCTGCTCTTTAAAGAGAACAGTATTTTTTCACGAGCATGAGACAAGTGCAGTCTGTCTGCTTCATGCTGTGTCTGCAGCATCAGCAGGCACTACCAAAGACTTAGGAAATCACAATGACTTTAACTGAAAGTATCTGCCATTAGAAGAGTCTTAACCTTTATTATGAGTATCTGACTTGATTCTCAGTAAACCTTGCTACATCAAATCAAAATAGTTCAGCATGACTTACAGGTGGTCCAACATTTGCTGCACTTGAGATGAGATCTCAGGCTTTGCCCTCCCCAGTCTGCAAGAAGGTGGTTTGAGGCATTGCAGCAGTAGTAGCAGTTTGGTGCCAGGTTGCTCAGATGCCCAGGAGGAATTCTCTCTCCTGTCCTTCTCCCCCAGTATTCACCAGAGAGCTGCTTGTTCTGTTCACAAGCCCATATTAAATAAAAAATAAATAAATATCAGCAGTTTGGCAGTTGCATTTTGCCAGGATGCCATTCCCTGCATCCTCCAAGGGATGGTAGATGGGTAGAAGGTGCATGAAGTCTGCTCTTTGAACCATGCCTGTCTTTAGCTTGGTGTCCTGGCCATAGCTATCCGTATTTGGAGCTTCAGTCAAACATTTAGTAGTCAAAAATCAACAAAACAAACACAAAACAAAACAATTATTTGCTAGTGATAAGAATAGTAATTTTTCTTTGAGATGACTTTCTGTTGACTTTCTAAATGTCCTCTTCTAAAATTGCTAGTACATGTGGATGGATTAGTGAGAGAGCAAAGCAGCTTCCTTAGGAGCTCTACAGGAAACCTCTGGTTTTAACAACATCTTGGTTTTAGTGTCTTCGCAGCTTTTAAGTCCTCTCTTCTCCTCTCCCAATGTAATATTACACAGATTTAATTATTAATTGCAATTTCATCCCTTTTCGTACATGGACTTGTATGACTCTCCTAATTAAGCATACACACAGTAAAATTGCAAGCTAGAAAGAGCTGTCTGGGCTTGGATGATAGCAATTAAATGATTTATATTTACAGGCGTCAATATTTATCTTATGCCTACCCTCTGTCCTAGCTTGTCGTCTATGGTTGTGTGTAGTCCATTGGCTTTAGTTAGCATTCCAGCTTCCTATCTCTGGATACTGTGTTCTTGGCTGAGGACAGTATTGCTTTTCGTAAGAGTATGTAGTAAGACCATATTCTAACTTTTACAAACACTGTTAGTCTTTCTGTGTTCACCTGAGGATCTTTTTTCTGCTTAAGTTTCAGAAATGCAAGGTTTGAAGGTGTTTAAAATAAATGAGTCGTTGTCTTCTCCTGCCCCCAGTTGTTCTCAGAGAGCTCTTGCTAAAATTATTTCGGGTGATGCCCCTAACAAAAATACGAATGAACCGAGTCCCAGTTTCCACAGAGCTTCAGTATTTTAAACAGGCACAATTTATTTTTCTGTTCTGCAGTTCTCCTTGGCTCTCACAGGGTCAGCAGCAGCAGTAGCACTTTGGCTGTTCCCAGTTGAGTCGTTTGGAATGCAAATCACTTTGCAGTGATGCCAGAGGTTCCCTTTGTGCTGGGCTTCCTATAAAATGCGTGACAGATTGTCAGCTTTGCCACATTCCCTGGGCAGCAGGGAATAGGTAGACGCTTCAGCTTTTGATTCAGACAGAACTGGACCGATATTGGAAGATCTGAGTCAGCTTTGCTTTGCAGATAACTAAATCATGTCAGAATACTACATTGAGTGCTTCTAGCTGATATTTTGATGCTAACATAATTCCTGGGTGCAAATAAATACCTACCGAGGGAGCTTTGCAGAATCTGTGCTCTGGGAAATACAGCCCCCCCCCAACACCCTTTCCCACCTTTCTTCACTACCTGATTTATATGTAAAGACCAGAAATGAAGCCTGGGGGTAATATCAAGTGGTGTAAATTCTCTGCTCTTAACTGTTCTTGCACCATCTGAGCTGCAGGGTTTGATCTCTGAAAATAAAGCAAGTGCTGGATTTTTACTCTCTTTCTGAGCTTTGCTTTTAAATATCTTGTTTAGCTTGCATGAAACCAAACTCAGTACAGTACATCTCAAACTGAAGTGTCTCTGGAGAGCTGGGCTAAACTTGACCTCATGTGAGTCTGTGGTGTACTAGTGATTAAATAAGTTGTATTCATAAATTATGTTGGGTTTTGGTTGCTATTCAAAGCTTTTAAGTTACCGTGACACTTGTTTCAAAGTTGTTCATTCAGAAGGAAACACTGAACATTCTTTTCCCACTCGTGTTACTCATGTTACTAGGACAAAGTATGAATATCTTTAAAGTTGAAATTTCTTGGGGAAAACAATTTTGGGGCGGTGGAATATTTTAAAAATTATTGTGCAAATCTTAATTTCAGAAATTATCAGCATTGATTCTTCTGAGTAGTTCTGTCAGCACAATCCACAACACTCATCTTAGGGAGCTTGCTCTGAAAACTGTGGATAGTGATGGTAAAAGTTATTTGGCATGGTGAATGGAAAGAGTAATGAGATGTTTGGAACTGTTACACAACTCTATTAAAGCCTCCATTTTGGAAAATTATGTAGCTGTCTGGGTCTGTCACCCTGACTTACTGTGCCCTGGGTTTCAAAGCTGCTGCTCTTTTGGGTCTCCGACTTAATTTCGTGGATACAGCAACTTCTTAAAAATCAGATTTTGATTAAAAGACTTTGAACAAATTCCTCGCGTTAAAATAGGACCTTGTGTTCTCTCTTCACTGTCACAGCAGGTTCTCTGTGACTTAAATCCACTATAAATCCAGACTCTCAGTGCTGAAGGTGCTTGGATTATACGGTTCCTCTCTGAGAGAACGTGAATTGGAGCAAGCAGATGGAGCAAACAGATGAGCAGACTTTGCACACATTTTGAAAATAGGTCTTGAAAGGAGTTTTAGTATAGGAAGCAAATAGACCTGGATGAATAAAAATGGCACTCATAAGGCTTTTTTCTTTCTGGCTTTGGCTTTCCTGTAAGTTTGCTTGCTTTGAACTTAGATCAGAAATGCCCCGAGTTCAAGATCTACTTTTTTATGGGGCCTCTGCTTTTAAAATACAGGCGCTCTCTGCTCTGCAGGTGATTTTGTTCTTTTCCCACAGTTTTATGGTTTAATTTTCTCATTATCCTCATGCCAAGAATTTTCTCTTTGGGACAGGAGGCAGTCTAGAGGCAGGACACTATGAAAGTCAGATGGGCTACACATTCCAAGTGGTGCTGATGGAGCTGACAGCCTCTTTGCAATCTTATCAAGTGTGTTCTTGTACGGGTGTAAGATCAGCACTCAAACTTCTGCCGAGCTTTGGTTTTGTTTTTTAATTTCTCTTCTACTCTGTAGCCAGACTTAAGTTGCTTTACTTTCGCTTCTGTCCGAAGTGATGTAGGTAGACATTTGGCTTTATTGCTTCTGTGCTGGAATTGTGGTTTACAGGTCCTTGACAACCTTGGTGGCATCCGAAAGCCTCATAACCATGCAGGGGAACTTGCATAACTCCAAAGCAACTTGTACACAGTGCTGTGTGTACTGAGACCACTCTAGCAATAGCATTCTAAGTGTTTTTCTGTGAGTTACCTATTTAGGTATTCACAGCTTCAAATCTGGAATAAAAGTACTTTTTAAAGCTAGTTCAGACTTCACACAGTAATTCTCATGTGGGAAGTACTGGAAACCACCAGTAGAGACCTGTTACTGTGTGTGGAGCTGCAGACAGTTTGCATGTCAATGCCCTAATTTGCAAAACTGGGTTTGAAGGACAAGCCAGGAGTAGAGTGCCCAATAGCGTGTTCCTTGTGCCATAGATGGCTTACATTAAATTATCGTGTCAAATGGGTTTGCATTTGGAAAATCTTGTGAGTGGCATGTTCATTTTAAATGTAAATTAAATATTTTTCTCTTTTTATAGGAACTGGAGACATTGTTGCTGTCATGATTACAGAATCGAAGGTTAAGGAGATCCTGAATTACTTGGAAAAGAATATCTCTGTCCTGATGGCAATAGCAGTGGGGTCCCGTGTTCCTCCAAAAAACTTCAGTCGGGGCTCTCTGGTCTTTGTGTCAATATCATTCATTGTTTTGATGATCATTTCTTCAGCATGGTTAATATTTTACTTCATCCAGAAGATCAGGTACACAAGTGCACGTGACAGGAATCAGGTAAGGGGACTTTTTTTTTGTTTAATTTCTGGAGGTCGTATTTCTGTGTATGGTTCTCCATAGAGAACAGGTCATTTCTAAGGAATGTCTGTCAAACATCAGTGTTCAGAACCTCTTTGCTCCAAGGCAGAGCATGTTCCTGGACAGCGATCTTTTTATAGCAAGGAGTTTTCATCCTGTGCAGCACCAGTACAAGATCATATTACATGACAGGAAAGAATAGAATTGAAGCAAAATATTTGGGTTTTAATGAGTATAAGTCCAAGAGGAAGATAAATTCTATGTTGGCTGAATTATGCATGCTGTATCTGCATTGGGAATGGGGAGGAAAGTTAAATTGTGAATGAACTTGTACAGTATAGGGGAACACAGAGCTAATGTTACGTTATTAATGATAGCTTTACAGAATCACAGAACGTTAGGGATTG